CACACACACATATGATTATATAAAAAGAAAAAACATTTTTACGAGAATATCTCTAATTTACTTGTTATTTCATTAGTAGGAACATTCGAAATACATTTGTAATTCATAATCTAGTTTTAGTATACAAATAGCTACTTTAATATAAGCATATGCTTTTAATATAAAGTCTACCACTTTCAATAAGAAAATTATAACTGGCAAATGCGAAAGCTTCTCAAAATTACATTCACTTCGTTAAGCTGCAATTGCCTATGACTTCTACTATGAGTAGAAAATTTAACAAAATCTGAGCAAAACGATACATATAATATTGCACAAAAAGTGCAAAAGTTATAATATTGCACAAAAGTGCAAAAAGTTCCTGAATATTTATACTTACATACTTTCTCGGAATAATTAATTTTTAATATATAAATATAAATTAACATCCAAATATAAATTATGTAACACATTTCCTATGTCTTTGGTATACGTAATTTAATTAACTTTGAACAAGCATTATAGCATAAAAATAACAATATTGGAATAAAATATCTTTTCCCATTAAACACTGCAAAACATTTTATTCGTGCCATCTGATTTTATAATCTGCCCCACGGTCGTGATTATTCGCAATACACAGCTGGTAGTATAATAATTATGCTACCATAATAATTGCATATTACTTGTCGCGTCGGTGATGGTAGTTCCCATCACGAGTTTCGCGGATAACTCGCCAGGCTTCATTGTGAATAATTAATTTGTATGCTGCTTAGCGCGCAATGCGAATAATAAAATTTCGAAGTAAGATTAACGCATGGCGCCATAATGCTCCATGCATATGCATCGGGTGTAAGTAATACTGCTTATTATTCGTGCTGTCGTGAATTATTGTCCTGGAAATTAACTGATCTGACTGTCGCCTCTGAGTTATGCACGGGGCTGGACAGAATGATGCCACAGGAAAATTACGTAGCAAGAATGGATCGAGTAATCAAAAAAAATCTGCGCTTTCTCTCTAATCCCAATGAGAGAGCGAGCAAAAAGCTTCGGTCCGCTGCGGCCGCGATTGCATTACCTTTACGGCGACACGGATAAAAAATGTTGACTATTTCGTCAATTGGCATGTGGTAATTTCGTAAAATATTGTCGAGGTCAGCTGCATGCTTTAAAAAATATCACAAAAAGTAAATAACAAGCATTACTACAATTAAATTTGTGTCCATAAGAGAATAAGAAAATATCTTTTTGAGATAAACGGGCATATATATAAGAGAGATATCAAAATTTTCTTGATAACTCTAAATTAGATATGTACAAAGTAGAATATAAAATGATATTAATATAAATTTAACACAACAATTTTTCTATAATTCTAAGTTTCTCAATTTTTAATTAATGTGTATATCAATTTATGGAATAAATATTCTGTATTCTATATTCTAATTATAAAATTTGCATTATATTAATAATATTTTCAAAATAGCCATTCAGATATCATGCATTTCATTACCACCTTTATGCTTTCAAAACTTATCCTTTGTCATGAATGTTATATTTCAAATTCGCGAATAATAATAATTAACCACTTCAATCAAAGATTACCGACAAGCTCGTGAATAATTATGTTCGAAACCCATCGCCTTGACAAAAGATATTGTTGATAATTATTGCATTAGAGGAGACATTTGACATACAATCTCATTGTTTATAATTCCACCAATGCAATATACATTACGCGAATGCACACCAAATGGAAGCAGAAATGAGAAAGAGGAAGGGAAAATGAATTCTCTTTCAATTATAATATAACGCTGGCAGCTAATTATTCAAACAACGTTATTATTACGGAGATCTTATAACTGTTGCGTTAATAAAAAAAAACGATTCTTTTAAACGTACATCTACTTTCTTCATGTTTCATATAATTCGAAGATTCTAAAAAGCATACTTAAAAATTTTACATCTAAATCTTCTACGTGTTCATAGAAAGTTGATGGATCAAGCGGAAACAGTACGTTAAAAGTTAATGTATATCACATTGTACATTTATTATTTCCGAGCTATTGCCTTCCCGGTCGTAAAATCGCGACGCCAATTCGTGTCTGGCAGTGACGACGACCGGGGTTGTTGTTTCAAAGAATTATTATTATTTCTACGATCCGACTGGTCACACCTCTTACTGTGCGGTGTCGGGGACCAACCGCGAGATACGACGAATTAATGGTTAAAAGGGATCGTTTTTGCTTGTCCGGGGGTGGCCGCTTCTATAAAACGATCCCGTTTCTCCAGTGCCGGGAGTAGTTCATTGGCGGTTTTCGTAAAGGAAGAAACATGGCTTTTGTAAAGGTAAACTAAAGTCGATAGCGCAATACATCGGTGTCCTAAGTTGATACGCGGCTGCTCGTAAGCGGTGGTAGCGGAGAATATTACTGGGGCGCTTTGGTGAAACGGAAATTCACGTTGTCGGACGAAGGCATGCACACGTCGCTTATAATTACGTATTCTTGCGAACAAAATTGTGGAAGGTGTTGCATCTTTTGTGAGCGCGTTACGCCGCTGACGTCGGAATAATTGCGCATCCCGGAAAATATTAGCGTGGAAAGCGTTACAATGCAAGCGCGAGTTGCCGGGCGCTGAGTAATTTTTAGTTCACGCATACACACGCAAATGCACGATATCGTTACATAATGATTATATAACGATTAAATGAAAATACAATATTTTATCGTTACCGGTGTTATAATCTATTAAAATCTCGATTGCATTACGAATTGAAATACTTAAATGGTAATTACATGAAAATTTTATAAGTAATAATTATAGCATCACATTAATTGAAACTACAGGGGATATAATAAGTTTATAAATAATAATATAGCAATTATTAAATCTAAATAATAATAGCTTGTTTGTAAATTCTGCATGTTGAAAGATATTTTGAAATCTAGTCGCAGAATATTTTGTCATATAATAAGGATAATAGTATATTCTTAATTAAAATTTTTACTACTTTTATATAGCACATAGTAATTTCTTTTGAGGTGAAAATATAAAATCGCCGAATAGGAATTTAAGAAAGCATTATTGCACAATAATCGCTTTAGCGAGAAAAAACTGCATAATACTATCCATCTTTATAAAACGCTATAATAAAGCCTTATAACAAAGACTTATTGATCTTTTGCTCTAGCTTAGGATATAATGTTTCTTTTTCTTTTTACTTTACGAATCTTATGGATTAGGTATTAGAATGAGCATTAATGGTATCGGGTGAAAAATAATACGATCATTAGAAAATTAATATACCCCAATTTAAAGCAATTAAATTAAAAAAAATTGCAGCATTAAAAAAATTAAAGAAGATGATATGTTCTACTTCGAAAGATTTTAATAAAACTACTTACTTCGAGTGGAATTGAAAATTTCCTGAACGGCGCATTTTATCGCGAGAGAGTCTAAAGCTCCCCGTCCTCCATTTCTACCCTTTCTCTTTTTCTCTTCTCTCTCTTTGATATCCAATTTGCGGGAAGTGGACGGATATTAACCTTTCATGATCCGCCTGGGCAAAGAACTACAACGTATAACGTGAAGAATAACACGAAGGGCTCAGCACTTTTACCTGGCCGCGGGCGATGACGCGGTCCCAGCCTCAAACTCAGGACGATCGATCCAATTTCAAGTTTCGCCGATCTCATCGACCCATAGGATGGACTGCCGTGGCTTCCATAAAACGAATATCGCCGGAGCCCAGGCCGCGTTGAACAAAGTATCACGCAGTCGTGACCGTAAAGTAGCGGGCGCGACGTGTTTCGGAGATCTTTATATGAGCGGTAAAAGCGTCTCCGGCGAGTCCGTTCTTATTCGGCGCACATATTTGGAACGGAAGAATGATGATGGGCTTTTTTTCGGTAATTTTCTACTACACGCCAACACACATCGCGGTCCCAGTGCGATGAAAATGAATTTTGCTCCCTGCGCGCGATCCCACCCCCCTTCTCTCTCTCTCTCTCTCTCTCTCTCTCTCTCTCTCTCTCTCTCTCTCTCTCTCTCTCTCTACGTTACTATATA